CTTTCACTGGCGTTCAGCATGTGGACCCTTTTTGTTCTTCTGACCGAACACGGCGCCACTTCCGGGCATCCTTTCAACCACTTGGCTACAAGAAATGGGGCTCCACCGAACCTAGATCACCACCAACAGCTGCTTGCAATGTTCCTCCGGTCAACTGCCCACCATGTCATGTTGTCTAAACAAACAAGTTGTTTGTTTTTTGGTCCATGCCAGGACTTCAATCAGTGGCCAATGTACTGATAAGACAATCTTGGTTTACTGGGACTGGGGTGGTGTTATATGTTCAGTATTTGTGTGAGTCTAGCTGGCGTCATGATCTAGCTTCAAGCCACTTTCGAATAATACTACTTGCAATATGTTTACACTATATATATATATGTATTTGTATATGATGATCGATCAAGAATCATGGCAGTTGTCATTGTTCAACCATTCCAGACTTGATTCGGGTGATCTTGGTCTTGCCGCCATGACTTTGGCTTAAATCATGGACATGTACTTAATAGTCAGACATGGAATGAATCATGGCCGCAAATGGGTCAAAGCTGTGTGCGAGGTGATGGGATTTTCAGCCGCAGCAAAGCCTGTGTGAAGCTCAGACAATTGAATGCACAAAATGCCAAGCCCAACACCAGTCAGAAAGCAAGCTGAGCAGCACTTTTGTAGAGGTACACCAGCTCGAATACATTTCCAAAGAGAAGCGCTCTTTTGTTCGACTTGACCGAGACTTCCCTTACCAACGGCTCGCCGGCGCAGAATTTGGCCACCACCGAAGTCAGGCCCACGCGCAGGGTGAAGAACGAAGATACAGCCTGCCAGACCAGGCTGGAGCGGACAGTGGATAGGGTCGGTTTGTGGAGCTAATGCTGAGCATTGCGATCACGAATAAAAGGGAGACAATCACCACGTGTCCCACAAAGGTCTTTGAACATTTTGCAGATACCAGTTTACTGATTTGGAATTCTTTAGATTGAACGATTGTGCATGCACGAGTTTCTTCTGGGAATCTCGACAGAGATCATTCAACGCCCGTGGTAGTTGAGTGGGAGTTGGATTTAGACCATGTGAAGACCATTGGGTAATCATTTAAGTGCAGCATCCAGCATGAAGTAAGGATGCTCACATCAAAATTAGCTTGGTTTGCCTGTCTTGCTAACCTGGTGGAACTGCCAAAAGCCACGTATCACTTCATATATGATGTTGTTTTTTTCTTCTTGCGACATGTAGTCACCACAGATTTTACTGAGTTTGGACTTCTATCAGATTGCTAGAATCGCTTCAATTCAAGAGTCAAGGACCGCTACAGGATCAGAAGAAACCAAATTGTCACTTGTCTAATAGCTATTAGGTTGGAGGCCACCGCTTCTAGACGCTTCTAGGTTGGAGGCCATCGCATGCCATCGCTAGTAGAAGATATTCGCAGGACTCGTCAAGAAGCTACTGGGAACAAGTGCATCGCTACTAGTAACAGGTGCCTTACTAGTAGTAACAACAGATGAAGCGACTGCAGCAGGTCGCACGTTTCAAGCGAGCAAAGGACGAGAAGAATGAGTGGCCTGGATTGGCACGGCCTTGCCCGGCGACTGTTTTGGATATCTCCAAAGGGGTGGAGGATCTGTAGTCTCTTGATCTTACGGCAGTGTATGATAGAATAGCATGTTACGTAAATCATTCTAATGGAATCTTTCTGCATGTATCTTGAACGGTTTAACCTCTCCTCGTTAATTCCAAACATTATGTGTTCCACGTTTGGTTTGGTTGCCTTGTTCAGACTTTGCCAGTGGTGCATGTCAGTGGCCCAGTGGCAAAACTCCCTTCACTGCCGCCCGCAAACAAGGCGGTACTTGAACATCGACTCGGTCTACGACGGTTCCTGGCTCAAAGGCCACCCTTAGGGGCGACCGTTCACGGCGACGATTCGCTTGGTGAGAACTGATCTGACTGTGATCTTGTTGCAAGGCGAATCTTGAGAGTGATCTGAAGTGTTGCAACACAATGTGTCAAACTGTGTCAAGTTCGTGGACCGTGTCGAGTGACCTGAACGGAGCTGGAGGCAAGCGTGTGCTCGTCATTGGAGCTAGTCGAGGCGAGGCCAGTTTTCAAAGGTTCAACCGCTTGAGCAGAGGCCGTTTCGTCCTACTGGGTCCCTACTGTACTATTTTGATCTATTTTGTACTTATGCAGAATGATACAGAAGCTTCAATGATCTTCAATGTCAATCATCAACATGTACACCAAAATGTATCCGGTTTGCCCATAGTGGATGCATTGAAACTGGAAGCTTGGCACGCATTTACCCTTTATGCAATGATGTTGGCCGGCTTGACCATTGCAGAGCTTTTCAAGCACTTTCAATCTGTTGTTATGTTCCATTTGAGGGCTGATTTAGCTCATGTATTCCGTTAGATTTCTGTGCCAGAGGTCTTGGCCTTGCCATCACCAAGGAGCTGGTGGCTCAAGGGGTGCTGATCTTGGTTTGGCAATCTCGCACTATTTACTGTTCGTCGATCTTCTGTGCCAAGTCTGTGACGGTGGGAAACTTGATTTGGGACCGTTCAATCGAATCAATGCATCCGCCAGTGTGTACGTGCTTCCGCTGAGCTTCCGCTGAGCTTCCGCCAGCCTAGGCAGAAGTCATGGGCACCTGTCGTGGTAAGCCTGGAGGCTTGGAGGAGCTCAAGTGCAAGGCGTGGCGTGTTGGATCACGGGCCGCCTGGTCGCTTGGTTTGGAAAAAAGATACTTATAAAAAGATAAAGGATATATTAAAGACTAACAGCGATGGTCTTCAACCTAATATTGATGGATATTAAAGTATATTGGAGAACCCCACATGTTGACAGTCTTTCTGACATTCCAACCTATGCACAGCGCGCTTTAAGAGCTCTCCAAAGCGCAGCAGAAGACTGGCGGCAGGTTCAGTCCAGTTCATGCTCAAGACTTACCTAGGAATGCGTTGACTAGCACTAGCAAATGCTTTTCGTCCTTATGCACCGCTGCACTCAGCATAGTTGCTATAATTAAGCAGCTGAATTTGACTAGCATTTGCCATGACACATTTGGCAAATGGTTGAAGTATGGGTTGCGTGTGGCTGGTATTGGTAGCTCTCTCTCTCTCTCTCAGGTGCAGCACTTTCCAAGAACCCATTTTCTCATGGAACCGAATCCCGCAAAAACCGCAGTTCTTTCGCAGCGCAAAAAAAGAATATGCTTTGGCCTCCACTCTGGGACAGGTGTATGCAACAATTTCCAACTCTTTCTGCCGATCTTCTGTCATGGGGCTGTTGATGTGCTCCCTGCTGGAGAGGGCACCTTCTGCACAACCAGGGAAAGCACCAAGCTAAAAATGAGATTGGGCACGCATATGCCATGCGGGCATTTCGAAAGCCCTTTCATTTTGCACTCAACTCCCCTGAAGTCGAAGTGCTTGGTATGCCCCACTTGGCAAAAACTTGAGGACAGCTGATTCAATGGAATTTGTACTTGTGGACCAAGACAGCGAGGTATTAATGTGAAGATACATTAAAGGGTATTAAAGGATATATTAAAGACTAATGGGGATGGCCTCCAACCTAATATTAAAAGATATTACCTCAGCACTCTTAGCCTGAGATGTTGTGTTATCCGATTGCACAACCAAATCCTCTGCATCCTTTGCCCCTTTGCAGTGCAAATGCGCTGAACTCGTGCCAGTGCGTGGGTCACGATCTCGCAAAGGAAGGAGGCGCCATGAAAAGTTCTCATCATCGGCCAAGTAAAAGTCACAGCAGTAGCCATGAGCCATTGCCAAGTGAACAATTATTTTTGGCCGGGTGTTCTTCTCAAGAACCTTCAATGGTTGGAAGCTATATTGAGGCGGAATCCCTTTACTTTTGTCCATCCTGTCGATCAGAGTGAGAACTTTGCTCCGACTCTGCCATCTTGAGTGCCAATAGATGAGCCTATCATGATAACGCTTTTTCAAAGGGCGCCCCCACTGGAGTGGATGAATTGGGAATGCTCAAAGCACGTGCTGCATGCTGCATTGGCTATACTGGGACGGCTTGCGAAGTCTGATGATGTGTCTCCATCCTTGACCAATGACTGAAAACACTTACGAAGAAATGTTTGAAGACAAATCAGCACAACAACTTGAAATTCCGCCACCGCTCGCCCATGCCACCGTTTCCAAAAAGTCCCAAGCCAAGTACTGCCACCATAGATCGATTGGCTTCTGATCCTGGACATACCACCTGGGGAGGCTGACATCATCCAACGTCATTGCTGAGGCATCCTGGAGATATGTTTGCTATTGTTTCCACCTGTGCTTGTTCAACATGTTTCACGGGGTGGATGCAACTAAGTGGGTGTGCAGACATATCTGTAGCTTTGTTCAAGGCGATGTCCACCCAGGATATTTGTGTACCATTGTGCACAGTTGATTGAGTGGTTGACTCGTAGGACATGTGTTCACCACTCCTCTCTTAGATTAGTTGACTCATTTGTTGGGTTAAGTCACGTGCTTCCGAAAACGAGTTGGGGAGTTGCATGCAAGCAATGTCAATCAGGTCCATCGATGGGCATCGAAGCGTTAGGGGCAAAACGCGATGAGATTGCTCCCCACCCCAACCCCCTATCCACCCCTGTTTTCTTGCGTTTGGTTCAATGACCCTTATCCACTTGTGTATGTATATAATATACACATTTTTTAAAATATATATACATACAATATAACGTTTGACCATGTACGAAGTCAGTGGCTCAGGGCTCACTTCACACCCGCCCTCGTTTCGAAAACAGAAGCGTCGCATTGTTCGATGCTGTGTTCAGTCACCATTGGCCAGTGCGCACAATGCCCTGACACCCCGCACTGTAAGAAAAACTCAAAATTCCAGTGTTTTTCTTGCGGGTGTCTGACAACCTGATACCTTGTAGTAGCATGTTTCACATGTTTCAATTGTGCCCTGTTTTGCATCGGCATATCCAGGTGATCAACGGCATTGATGTCCAGGACAACAAAACCATGGACAAACTCGCGAAAGATGTTGGCGACAGGGCCTCGAAACAAGTTGTTTTGACAATTCTTCACATTTGCATCCGGTTCCGGGTGAAGTCTCAGCCGCCCACCGAGGGCCCGATCGATTTGCTGATTCAGAATGCAGGGTATTTCATGGAGTGTGGGTCCCAGGCTGAGCTCCTTAAAGAGGCCGTTGGAACGAAGTGTGTGTTCCCTTCGTTTGACCGTGCGTCAACGTAAGAAGTCAAACAGTAATCTTTGACATCCAGTGAGTCTACCAGGGATCACAGACTTCCAAGCGTTCATTGATGTTTCGCGGTTGTGCCCGTCTCAGGGGCCAGGAGACATTGGAGAACTTGAACGACAAGGAAGAATTGAAACAAATCGACATTTGCGCGCACAGCTCTCAGAATGTGCGACAGCGCAACGTGCATATCGTTGTTTTGCGGTGCGGTCAAAACATGTCAAAACCGGCCCTGGTTGCAAAATGAACGGAAGGGGCCACCAAGAATGTCAACCTATGTTGTCCGATCTAATCTAAACACCATTGTACAGGTCAGAAAGTGGTATAAACGTATAAACAACAGGGTTAGGGGGCTCTCAGAACCCAGATCAAAAGACACCAGCAGCACCAAGGTAAAGTAGCCATCCAAACTCGCCGACGGCGATTGATACCCAAAATGATAGGTATGTATATATCGTTTCTACCTAGTTATGTCGGAACGTCATGGAATGTTTCCAACAATGTCAATTGGTTGGCAGCGAGCAGACCGTGGCTTCAGGAGCATTGGGCGCCACACCAAGGCCCATGAAAATTGGTGCGCAATGATCACCTAGGAACTCCCGAGTCTCCGCAGACGTTTGCATTCCGTCCGTGACGTCACCGTTCTCGGTCTGGATGTGACGTCCGTGGGATCGGCAGCGTGATCGGATACTTTGGAGAACGATCAGCTTTGGAATTTTCTCTTTTGAGTCTTTGTAGACGCCAACGAGAACCTTTGTTCCTTACAGAAAGAGCTGCTCTATCAGCAAGGGCTGGTTCCCAAAAATCAGCCTCATGGATCTCTGGCATATTCTGGCATGGGAAATTGCATGCTGCGATTTGACTTGAAAGATGTGCATGTTGGTCTACTTCCTGGTGTGCTCTAATTGGGTGCCATGGGTTTGGAGGGTTAGTTTGGACCCCCACCCATTAAGGCCAGCTCGGGGTTCAAGCAGCTAGTACGCTCCGCAATGTATTTGGTTGCCCTGGCTTCCTAGTTGACCGTCCGATGGAGGAGTCTTAGTAACATTCACATTTGCAGATGAGGCTTGGGCCCTTGAGGGTCACGTCGGCTTTGTACAAAAATGGACTGCTGAAGAATGGGAAGGCTGGCAGAACTGAGCGGAAGTTTATATAAGTTATTGATGCAACATCAGCACTACACTACGTAATCTAATCGGGTTTTCTTTTGTTTGCGGACATCTAGAATTGAGTCCTGCATCTTGGTGCTTCCACCAAGTCACAGTTCAAACGTAGTTTTCGTATTACTGTAAGTTCTTGTTCGGTAAGTATGGGTCGATTTGCCGGTTTCCCGGCACGTGCTTGAAATGGGCAGGTGCTGATCATTACAAGCCAAGCGGGCTCTGTGGAGTGGCGCTTCACACAGAACCAGAATGAAGGCGATGGGTTTTCTGCCGCTTTAAGGCAGTTCATTAAGGCAGTTTGTAAGTAGCTAGTATTTACGAGGAAAGTAGCGGCGATTGAAAGCCACGACCGATCGAATGCAGAAGGGCTCCGGCTTGAGGAAACTTAACTACTAGCGATGGCCTCCAACCTAGAAGCGATGGCCTCCAGCCTAATAGCTATGGTGATTTGATTCCTAGGTTTTGTTTTACTTGTTTCCCTCCCGCCACCTTTCTGGACCCGGACACCCTAGCGGCCCTAGCCGCCCTAGCCTGCCCTGGCGATGGTTTGATCCTGCATGTCCTGTTTGGACGCAAAAGCTTTGTTGAAGTGATGAACTAATTGAATCAAGGTCCTCCCTTCGTGTGCTTGTTGCCTGTTTTGGTTTCATTTCGCCTCGCAGGTGAAGGGGTTGTTCGTCTCGAATCGGCACTAAACACTGGATCGAAGGTGGCGATTATGGCCACCATATGAGCAGAGCTGCATGTAACTTGATCGAGAGGGGTGTGTGGTGGGGGCTCAAATGCAGGGACTTCTCATGTACAAGTACAATATGTTCAGAAGCTTCTTTCGGGCAGGAAGCACAACTTCTTCCAACTCGTTGTTGTATACTATTTATGATACTCTGATATACTGTGTGCATATATATATATATATATATACATATTTGTAGATACATTTATTGTAATTGCAGCTGAGGCAACATTGCAGCAGCTCTCATGTCTGAAGAGCTAAAGCAGGCAGGGCCAATTTGTTTCCTTTGAGTGTTGATGCTCCACATGATGCTGAACGTTGCAGTGGTTTCTTACCCGCTCTTACTTCATGCATGCACCATGTAATGTTTAGTTCAAGATCGCATACCACCCTTCCGAAACCTTTGGCATTCCGCAAGCAACACAAGATTGTCGCACAGAGCCATGGATGACCCTTGCAAAAACACAGTAACATAACAAGAAGCTACTAGTAGCGATGCACTTGTTACTAGTAGCTTCTTGTTACTAGTAGCAATGCCAGGAGCCCCCAGTAGCGTCCTTGCTCCTAGTAGCGATGCCA